TTTTTAAATAAAATTATATTGATTATGTGTTTAATCTGGAGCTATTCAAATGAAACATTCAATACATCCTCCTCTGTCCTCTTTTTTTGTTTTTCCTCCTTTTGGTACCCATGCACAGTATCTGGCAACCCTACTCTTACACCCTCTTGTTTTATTGCCCTGGGTTGTCACTACAAAATGCAAGTTGTTAGAAAAACAACTTCCAAGCACTGAACAAACCGAATACGTACTGGCTATCCTCTTTAGTACTTACAACAGAAAGAGTTCCTGTGCTCTGAATAATCGGCATAGGATGCTCAGCCAAATTTCTAATATGATTAAGTGACCAAAGCTTTACTCATTTTAAGTGGCCATCCTAGAGTTTTAACAAGGAGGAGCTGTAATTTCAGGTCAACACACTGCTACTATTAATAACCATTTTAATTCATTAGTCTCCATTAAAGTTTGAAACATACACAAGAAGAATTCTCCCTCATGTGCCACCTAACTTTGTAGTCATCACTCATGGCAAGAAAGCTTAGGTCTAACTAGCAACCAAGCTATAATTTCACCCTTGACTCATTGGGAAACCCTCTCTTTTCTAACCAAACCCTTAAAAGAAATATTATTTTATCTGTGGTTGGGAGGGGAATAAGAGTTCTTGCTTCCTTATCACAAAATGTTTTGTTGTTGTTGTTGTTGTTGTTTGTTGTTGTTGTTGTTGTTGTGCAGTTTGTGGGTCAAGCTAGGCAAATCACTTTTAAAAGATTATAGCGGCCCCAGGATTCTTGCAGAGCTCTGTACCTTGTGGGTCAAGCTGGGCAAATCACTTTTAAAAGATTATAGCAGCCCCAGGATTCTTGCAGAGCTCTGTACCTGACCATTTAGTTTTCCCAATTAAATTGATGGTTTCTCCCCAATGACCTATCAGAAAACAAAGCAAATAAAATGGGGAGGTAAGAAAAGCTCATGTTACGACAAACAAAAACGTATCTTACTACTTAAAGGAGCACTGTTTCTAGTTATGAGGTAAGAGTCTGATCTAATTCGACTCTTTGCATGCTTATTTAAATAATTTGAGTGAAATGAAATTATTGTCATAATCTAGTTACTAAGCCCCGAAGAAGGCAGTTAAGGAACTACTGCCTGAAAACTATATGACATGGAACAGATGCAAAATGCTACTCTTAAAAAAAAACGTTAAAAAGACAATTCCTTCCCTTTTTCTTTAGAATCGATATATCCACATTTCACTCTTCTCTTTCCCTCCTTTTTAGCAGCATTCAGTACATTAACTATGGCCAAAGTCATCACCTTCTGCAACTCTGTTTCCACTCCATTAAACTAACACTTGCAGAAATTAAAAAAGTAAATTTTGGAATATAATTCCCAGAATCCCCCGTAGGAGTTCTTGAATGCTTCTAATTAGCAATGTTTCTGAATGCAAAATAATTTTCTTCCTGCTTCCTCCCCAAATGGTCTCTCTCTCTCTCTCTCTCTCTCAGTTTCAGTTCTCTCATCCTTTTCTCTTCTTCTGTTTCCAGCCCCCTCTGTAGAACTAAGCAGCTGGTTCTGTTTGAAAGCTGGTCACATGTATACCTGTTCCATTTGTTATTTGTATAACTTACTGTTTGTAGCTTTCAATTGTTGTCTGTTTAATGATGTAAGCTGCCTTGGGTCATTTTTTCAAGGAAAAAGGCAGAGTAAAAAGGTTTTAAATAAATTCGTTCGTTCATTTAGTCGTTTAGTCGTAATGTGGGCTCTTTTTCTTTGTTTGTTCCCTACCCAGGCACCTCCATTTCTGCCATGGCACAAAGAAGCCTTCTCTTAAAAAGCATTAATGTGTTGCTCAGATGCATGTGTATGATAAAACACATTCACAGAATGAAGTATAACAGGCTTGCAAGGCTCTATTTGGCCCCAAACACCACTCGAACAAGGCAGTGGAGAATGGACAACAGTGTGCTATAGCATAGGACATTAATGACTATCAGATAGCTGGCTGATTGTTTTAAAAAGATATAAACAAGCCTTCTCATCCTTTTCATCTCTATAAGTTCAAGAACCAAAGCAGCAGTTATTCCTTCTTCTTCTTCTTCTTCTTCTTCTTCTTCTTTTTCTTCTTCTTCTTCTTCTTCTTCTTCTTCTTCTTCTTCTTCTTCTTCTTCTTCTTCTTCGCTATTTGTTATTAATAATAATAAATGCATGGGTTTCCAGGGTTTTCTAGGTTGAGTATGCAAAGTGGCTTACCGTTCACTTCTTCCCGGGAATGTCCTGGAATTGTGCAACTTGCCCAAGGCTACATATAATGGCTCTTATCTCAAGAATCACAGTGGGAAATCAAACTCCCTAAATTCTGTGCAATCACTATTTAATTTGCACATTAAAAAGTTCTCATTTTCATCTTTTGTCAAGAGTAGCAGAACATATCTCACCCTCCTACCAGGCAAGGAGAATAATTTTATGGTCCCTCATCCTCACAGGTAACAATCAGAGGATCCTCACAAAGTGAGGATTTTCATCCCTACTATGTAGTGACTGTACTGCTTCTGACTAAACCTATAGAAAGCAAGACTGTTCCATTCCCCTCCACTTAATAATTCAATCTTTCTGATGTTTGCTCCCTCCCACACATTCTCCAGGTTCCAATTATACAGCTGAATAAATACCAAAATAACGAGACAATAAAAATACACCCACGCCTTTAAGTCACTACATGCTTGAGTAGCACATCTAAGTGCAAAGTTCTATGTGCATACTTAATAAATACTAAGACTGTTGGCAGCTCTGCTAATGAACACTATTTCTGTTTTACAGGAATAAATTTATTTGCTCTAAGTTAAGCTGAAACCATGATTTGAAGACCCTTCTGTAGAGGTCTGTCCCTAGAAAAATTCCAGCTGAGGTCAGTGTTTACTTGGGGGGTTCTGTTTTACCTCTCTCCATGATGACTGAAATCAGGTGCATCATTCCCTTTTCCCTACCACAATTTTGAGACTGAATTAAAGCATCACCCACACCACCAGGTTAACTAAAAGCCAGCCTAAATGCAGAGGGCTAACCCAAATTACTATTCCCAGCAAAAGCAGACCCACTGAATCAGTGGAACTTTGTTAAGTCCATTTGTTGACTTAACAAATCCTACTCATTTTATGGGTCTGCGCTAGAGCTTTTTTAGATGCTAGCTCATAAATAGAGCAAACAAGGGAGGGATCATTCTAGCCCTAACAACTTCCTTCTCTACTGCCAGTTACTCAACATACATAACGCACCACTTGCTATCCATGAGTGTCTCTGTGCAAGTTGAAATTTTAATTGCATATAGTCTTGTCCAAGTGTGGAAATTTTTGTGGCTTAAAACTTCTAATTACACAACAGAAAAAAAATCAGGGACCTACAGTGCAGAATTAGCTTCAAGTCTCCCAGGGGTAGATCACCCCTCGTTGTCTCATCAACTGGCACTTGCAGTCTCAATAATTCACTCTGAGACATTAGTAAGAGAAAGAATAAAAGTTCTATTTACTTACAGTTCTGAAACAAATAAAAATAAATAGCATTCTGCAGAAAAATGATGACTGGTTACATGAGCAGAACTTAACTGAGTGAGTCTGCTTAATGACTAACTATACGACTAAATGGTTGTTGTAGGTTTTTCGGGCTGATTGGCCGTGTTCTGAAGGTATATGACTAAACGCTGTCTCTAACTGACCCCTAACTTTAAAAAGAGTGGGAAAACAACTCCTGAGGAAACAAATCTTCACAAAATCTGAGGGAGGGAGTGATTGCTGCTGGACTGATTAAAATTCACCTCAGTCCAGAAAGGTCCCTCCCAGCTAAAACTCTTAAAGGCAGCATATGAAAGTTGTAACAATTCCAACATAAGGTTCCTTCTGGCGTATGTAAGCAGTATGCCAGCTTTCTAGGGCCAGCTTTCTAGGGCTAGCTTATTGCTCTCCACATGCAGAAAGGTGACAGAAGAAATGGCAGAGGAGGACAAATTTAGCTACATCTTCCTGCTCATATGTTTACTTTTTGTGAACTAATTCCTGCACAGGACCTATTTGGGACTTAACAACTTAATTCAGGTCTAATGTTTCATAACACTTCAAGAGCACACTCAAGGCTGGGATTCCTTCTGCAGCTCCGAGGAATGCACCAGCTACTGCCATCACCAGCACTACCTGGTTCATTTGGAGATTCTTATCACCACTACTTGCTTTGCCTAGTGAGATGTCCAAGGTCTGCAGAAGTACAAAAGGTCTTCAGGGAAAACAAAGCAGGGGAGCAACCTAATGAGGACTGAACGTGCACAGTGGGTTAGGAATTCTTGATGACAATATGAGAAGAAAGGTGAGATGAGGAGGGTAATGGAATGGAGATTTGTTTGTTTCAATAAGTATTTATTTTAAAATCACTTTTCTGCCATTGTAATCTCCCAGAGAGATGTGAGGTAAAATATTAAGGAGGATGGTACAGTTGCCTGGCTGGAACGGTGAACAGGACAACTCCACACTGTGGAAGCAGCAGAAGAGTGAGCGGACAGTCTGGCCCCAGGTGAACAGGCCAAACCCTCATTATGTCCACCTGTGCAAATAAGAATAACCCCATCTCTAATGCTGACATGAATGATTTCGATTACATAGTATGTTAAGTAAAAAGCACAGTGCACAAAGCTCTAAATTACAACATCTGGAACATCTGTGGCATAAAGCACTTTGCACAGACATAGATATATAACATTTCCAAATAATTCCAATTTTTTCCCTATTTCTTTCTGGGGGAAATGTAAATGTTTGGAAATTTTAGATCTCTACTCCCACCCCACCATGACCATTTCCATTTTTTGGAGCAGAGTTTCTCCCCCCCCCCATTTTTTTCTGGAACAAACTTGGAAATTTTTGGAAATTTTACATCTCTAAACAGACATTCTCAGTGGAGAAGCAAGGGGCTACAATACAATCAGTGCTCACAATTTCAGTTACAAGAATGGATCATAAATTTAATCAGCATAGTCAACTTACTGTCAGATCATTCCGGATGGCGAAGTTTTCTGGTTTGATGTCACAGAGATGAAGGTGGTGGGAGAAGTCATTGTCAAAATGATTTACCATATCCAGAAAGCTGATTGCAATTTCAGTGATGGCCTTAGCTTTGTTTTCAATCTCAGAGAATGAGGCACCAACAGCATCTTCTACAGAAAAGAGAGTTTTGTGCCATGCATGGCCAGCTGTTAAATACTCCACAGCATAGAAGTGGCCGCAAGAGCCAATGACCCTTAGAACATGTTTACTAAAGTCTTGTAAAACACTAAAGTAAATGTATTCTTCCTGCTGGAGTAAAGACCACATGCTCGCCAACTGTGCTTTCCAGTGTGGGCCTCTCTTCTTTGTCCACAATGGTCCCACTGTGTTATTAGGAAGTTCTAAGCCCAGAACATTCTTGACTTCCAAAGCAACCATCATAAATAGTTCTGCCTCTGGGATGCCTTGTGATTCCATTTCCTCCAAAAAGCCAAGGGGATGATAACTAGAGAATATTTCATTTTTTGATTTCAGAATCACTGGGCGGCCTCTCCAGTCAGCTTGGATGACCTTTTTACCTCTGTCGTAATAAAGGCAGCGTCTGTATATCAATTTCTGTGCCACACACAAGTCTTCACACAGATCCCCTGTCAAGGCTCCTTTCCTATAATCAAGGCACTGGAGAAATAATAGAAACAAACCATCGTTAGCAGAAAGCCACAATTTCCAGTACCTTCAAGAAGCTGGCTGAGGTAAAATCACTTCAAGAGCTTTTATCTCTGAAATAAATTTTACAGCTGTTTATGGCACATACAAAAGTAAGATACCCAGATAGCAGCAGGTTTGAAGACCACATCTACCCATGTAATTACTGATAAAATGTCTTGTAAAACTGGTAAGTCATAAGGGCCAGAGAACTTAATTGGCTCAAACCTGGTGTTGGGGGGATGAAGTCTGCCCAAAAAAATGACAAGAGGCTCTGTGATTTGCATCTGGACTCGTATTTCTCTACATACAAAGTAAGATACCCAGACAGCAGCAGGTTTGAAGACCACATCTACCCATGTAATTACTGATAAAATGTCTTGTAAAACTGGTAAGTCATAAGGGCCAGAGAACTTAATTGGCTCAAACCTGGTGTTGGGGGGATGAAGTCTGCCCAAAAAAATGACAAGAGGCTCTGTGATTTGCATCTGGACTCGTATTTCTCTGTCTCATGTGCCAAAAGTGAGTTGAAGCTTATCTTTTTCCTTTGTCATACATTAAATGTTCAGAAAAAAATATGTCATGCTGGTTTATGACTTATGCTTTTGCTATGCACCTATGTGATGGACAGTTCAAATATCCATCTATTTTAAAGCACACTTTGTTATAATGTGGGCATGCCCCCTAATCCCTGATTTACAGAGAACAGTCCACTATCTGAAGTGCTGTCAGAGGACTGCCCTCTGTTTGAAAGTACTGAAGAATTGATCAGATAAAGTTTAGTCTAAATATATATATTTTTTAAAAAAAGAAGCCCTATGAAGAAAGAAGAGACTTTGAAGTTGTTTATTTCAACAGCTGTCCCTTGGATAGCCGATTGATTAGCTGGTCATGGTCTTCTCCACTGTGATGAGAAGATACTTTGTATTGCTCCCTAATTTATGGCCATTATTGCTAAATTTCCCTCTATACATACAAAGTACTGTAGCACATGCACACTACAGTATATGCAAACCTGTGTCTTCTTCTGTTGTGATGCATAAGCACCCACCCTACTTTGGCCACACATAAATTTAAGTAGCAAAAACCATCAAGTCAGTGGCCAAACTCTGGTTGACTTGATTTGATTAAATCATAGCATGTATTTTGCAATAATTTGTTTTCACCCTTGTTCATTTTGAGATGCAGCATATTAGATGTAATTCACTATGATGAAAAAGTGACTGTTTCAAATGAAAGCAAACAGATAAAACTATGCTTGTACTGCAAAGTTAGGCAGTTTCTTCATTATGTTAGTAAACCTCTGACCCCTGTGGGCAAAAGGTTTTGAACATACACATCAGATGTGTATGAATATTTTCCTAAGGCTTGTGTTTTCTGTAATTCGTGACTAAAAAGCTTGAAAAGGTCTGCAGTTACATGGTCATCTCAAATGCATGAAAGGAAGAAATAGGCTTTCCCCTGTAGTATCCCTTCCTCTAAACTTAATTGTTTCCATCCCTCCATTTTGGGCGTATAGGTGGTCTGCATAACTGCATCAATTCAAGCCTTCCAGAATTACAGCTGCAAATTCTGTTCTGGACAGATCACAAACGTGGGGTGTGGGTGGAAGATGCAGAAAATGAAATGGCCAAAAGGTGGCTTGATACCAACTTTCGTTTTAGTCTCTCCCAACCCCACTTTCCAGCAGCTAACAATTTCTCACACTATGTTGAGTTGGGCTTCTTGACAAATGTTGGACCCCAGAAAATACAAGCCCCATGGGTCTCTTCCATACATCTGCCAGCTGACACTCTATTGGCTGTTGACTCTCCTGGGAAGAAAGAAAGCAGTAACTATAACATTTCTGATCTGCCCTGCCAAATACGGAATATTAGATTTTACCACTACTATGTGGGTGGATGGGTGCCGTTTAGATGTTCTGCTTCAGACAGCAAGACACTTTGGATCATCTGTGACAACTTTGACCCTATGCTGGTATGACCTTTGCATGATGTTCTTTGTCTTTGCCCTACAGTCTCCTGCCTGTAAGTTTGGAAGCAGCACGGTGTGGTCTTAAGGCAACTGTGTGAAACCCACAAGCTAATTTGAGCTGTTCAAACAAGGAATTAATATCAGTGCCCTCAGACCATCTCTTGCTAGGGGTAGATCAACTAATGAAGCTTAACCTTCAGAGCCCGTAATTCCAGAGAGGCTCCAAGAGTGACTTTATTCCACATTTTTAAAAAACTGTGGTGATCTGTCATGGAACAACTCCATTGACGTTGATAACAGTATTTATTTATTTTATTTATTGGACTAGTTACCCAGACCTTGTTGCTGGTTGCAATGGGACCCCATAATAGTTCAGGCTTCAGACCACCCTAAAATGTAGGTCTGCCATTGGCTCCTGGGGATCTTCTCCATCGTGCTGCATATTCAGATATGAACCAATAACAGCATGGAAGAGTAAGCTTTATTTCTTCCACACCAGAATGTCCTTCATGACAAGCAACGGAGTAGAAAACAACATATCAAGAACCTACAACCACTTTCAGTTAGCTAGCTAGTCTCCAGACAAGATGGTGGAGGAGGAGATGCTCCCCGCTGGCTGGGAGAAGCGGATGAGCCATAGCTCTGCTTGCCTCTGACTGAGCCTGCAAAAGGAGGTCTGGGCGGGAGCCAGCAAGGAAGAGAAGGGCGAGAAAAGCCTAGCCAAGCCCAAGGTGGCATTTGCGAGCAGTACCTGTCCTTTGGCTGCAGGCCCACGGACCTGGGCCTCTTGGACCCAAGCCACAAAAGCTACGGCCACCGCCTGTAACCCCAGCGAGGAACCCAGCGACCGTGTCATCGGGTGGCCCCTCTTGGACTCTTGCATCACACCCTTGCCCAACCACACTGGCCCCAAAAGCCATGGCCACCACCTGTAACCCCAGCGAGGAACCCAGCAACCGTATCATCGGGTGGCCCCCTTGGACTCTTGCATCACACCCTTGCCCAAGCCCTGCTGCGCAGAGGCACTCTCCTGCAAGCAGCTCCAGCTGCTGCACCAGTTGTCAGCGCATGGCAGGAGCTCAGCAGCCTTGGCTCCAGAGGGGAGCAGCGAAGGCTCAGAGGCTGCCATGGTTACAGGGCTGGGTCCCGGCTGGGGGGCCGTGCATCCCTTTTGCTACCCGGGCTGTACCTGGGCCTTTGCCATGGCCTTCAAGCTGCGGTGTCACCTGCATTTGCACAAAAAACTGTGGCCCTTTCCTTGCTCGGTGCCCAGCTGCGCCAAGCGTTTTACCAACATCTACAACCTCCAGGCTCATAGACAGGAGGTGAGCCACAAGTGTGAAGTTTGCAGGCAGTGTTTCCCCATTGCTGCCCATCCAGGCGTTCATCAGTGGCAGAGCCACCTGAAGTTCTCTGCATATCTGAGTGATTACAGGTAGAGGGAGATATGGTGATGGCACGGTGCCTATTCGGTTCAGAAGAACGGTAAACAGATGTTTGAAGGCAGTTTACTGTTCTGGCACTGTGACCACCTGTCAGATTCGAGGTAGCCAGTTCAGCCATCCCTCCACTCTAAATCTGGTGTTGTTGAATGCCAGATCTTTATCAAACAACTCCCAGATTATTCAAGATCTTATTCTGGAGGAGGATGCAGATCTGAGATGCATAACCAAAATTTGGATGGGCAGGGAAGGGGGTGTTCCTTTGACTCTCCTTTTTTCCAACAACAGTGGATGTCGTTTCATCCCTACAGCGCTGCCTGAAGGCCATACTGCAATGGATGCAGGAGAATTGACTGAGGCTGAACCTGGACAAAATGGAGGTCCTGAGGGTGGGTGGACCCGCCATTGGTGGTTTGGGAAACTCCCTCTCTTTTGGGGGAGTGACTCTCACCACGAAGAGTGAGGTTCACAGCTTGGGGGTCCATCTAGATCTGGTGCTTACCATGGAAACACAGGTAGCATCAGTGGTCCGCACCACCTACTTCCATCTTAGGCAGATTGCCCAGCTCTGTCCCTATCTTGATGGTGCGGCACTTACCACTCTGGTCCATGCACTTGCAGTCTCAAGATTAGACTACTGTAATGCACTCCACATGGGACTGCCTTTGAGATTGATGTGGAAATTACAAATGGTGCAGAATGCGGCAGTCAGACTTCTCACTAGGGTGAGAAAACGTCAACATATCTCCCCCACGCTGGCTGCCCTGCATTGGCTTCCCATTTGATTCTGCATTGATTTCAAAGGATTAACAATGGCATATACTGTAAAGTCCTAAACAGTTTAGGACCTCAATATCCAGCAGAACGCCTTCTCCCACCTAGATCTACCCGTATCACTCATATAATGTCAAGGGAGGCCCGGAGAGAAAGAACAAGAAACGGGGCCTTCTCAGCAGTGGCACCTCACCTCTGGAACAATCTACCCCCAGAAATCTGCCTGGCTCCCTCGGATTTGCAATCTGGAATTATATTGTCACTGTTGTTTTTATTTTATCATATTGTTTTTACTTTTATGTCTTATTGTTAGCCACCCAGAGTAGATTTCGGTCTAGGTGCCCGGGGTATAAATCTAATAAATAAATAAATCTGTTTTTTACTGCTCTCTCACCATCTTCTAAACTTCATGTGAATCTTGATTTGTATCCCAAGAATCCTAGCCTCTGAATGCAACAGACAATTGCTCCTGTTCCATAAATTGTGGGCCTGCATTGCACAAGTATACTTTCTATTAGTTTGACTCTATCCCACTAGATACCACCTTAAATATTTTGTCATTTAATAACTTGAAATGTTAGTTTTATGAGGAACCATCTAGATCAAGTATTATATTCCCTCTTCATCTCCCCATTTTATCAATATACAGTGTTGGTGTTACCATTAGGCAGAATGAGATAAATCCTTCAGGCAATATTTTGGATGTCATGAAAAGGCAGCAAATTGCTAGTTACTCAGTTTGGTATTTGTGTATGTTTTATTGCCAGAGGTGGGAGGAGATGG